GTTTAAAAGCAATAGCCCCCCAAATAATCCAGTAAAGTTATTCCTAAACTCTCATCTAGATGAAGCCAGCAACCTGCCAAACAAATTATTGTTACTATTTTTGCAAATGAGTGCACTATATCAGGCTCTTAAACCTCTCATTGGACATTACAGTAAAAACAGACTGAATGCACAGCTACATTCATACATGGCTCTGAACACGTGAAATTCAAGATGGAAATGGGGAGATGTGAAGAAGTGCTAATTGCATCAAGTACCAGGCATATGGGCTGCACAAATGATGGTGGCGAGGCCATCATGCATACCATGTGAACATACTGGTCCATATCTCCTTTAATAAGAGGATCTTGCTGCTTATTTCTGACACAGTTGAGTGCTTGTTCACAGCAACTCCTTCCCCAGCAAAATGAATGGCAAAATCTCCAGAATAAGGAGCTGAATAGAGTATGCATGACCTTAGGAATACACTTTGCTTTAGGACACATGCACCTACAGAGTCACAGAATGGCTTGGATTGGAAGGGACCTTAAAGCCCACCCAGTTTCAATTCCCTGTTGTGGGCTGGTTGCCCCCCATCAGATCAGGCTGCCCACGGCCCCATCCAACCTGGTCTTGAGCACCTGCATGGACAGGGCATCCACAGCCTCACTGGGCAGCCTATGCCATTGTCTCATTGTGCTCTGAGTAAAGAATTTCTTCCTAACATCTAACCTAAATCTCGCTTTCAGCTTTAGAGCCACTCCCCCTTGTACTGTCACTATCAGACCTTGTAAAAAGTTGCTTTCTTTTCTGTTTATGAATTCCCTTTAAGGTCTGTTAGGCTGCATTGAGGTCTCCCCAGAGTCTTCTCTAGGTTGAACAAGCTCAGCTCCCTCAACCTTTCCTCATGGCCATTCTCTGGACTTGCTCCAACAGCTTCACATCACTCCTGTAGTGGGGCCTCAGGCCTGGATGTAGTCCTCCAGATGAGGTGTCACAAAGACAGAGCAGAGGGAGACAACCACCTCCCTCACTATGCTGCCACCCAGTGCTGCTTTCTTTTCCCAGTCTCTATACACAGCAAGTGCAACATGTCTCACTTGCCTTTTTCGAACCTCATTGGGTTCTCATGGACTTACTTTTCAAGCCTGTCCAGGTCCCTCTGGATAGCATCCTTTCCTTCTATTGTACCAAATACTTGAGGTTTTGAGTCTCTGTCTTGGGAGCATTGCTCAGTTCTCTGGCAACATGAAGCCAGTGGGAAGGAATTACCCTGCTTCCACCAACCACCTAGTCTGTATGTGATAAAGAAGCATTGTGTGAGGGGCTGCTGACAAGTATCTGAGGTGAGAGAGATTACCCTGTGCTGCTGACTTAATGGGTGACATTCTGCAGACTGAAAGGAGGTGACCAGTTCTCTGAGAAAGGAGGAGTACAAAATAACCAAAGGTGAAAAGGTATTTGAGGATCTCCTTTGGGATCCAGTTGTGGTCTCATAAAATTTCTGTGCCAGGAGGTCTGCAATCACACAGAGAAGGAATGTGGAACGGGAAGGGAAAAGCAGGATAAAAAGCAATTTCTAACACCACTCAGGAAATTAGTGTCTTAACTATAAACTCAATACCAAGTCCTAGTCCCTGTCCAATACTTTGTCACCTATTTTGTCATGGCCTGCACAATTTGATGCTTTAAAGTATTGCATTCAAAGTACTGCAGAAAAGTCAACAACAGATGTTGCTTTTGTTGCAAAAATACCAGCAGTTCAGTAAACCAAAAATGATGGCTGTGTGGCATCTGAGAAAAAAAAAAGCCTTTCAGAAGGATGGCTTAACAAAGTGCCCGCCTATCTGCAAAGCAGCTCGTGTCAGGCCAAGTGCCAAGTGAGGAGAGAAGGTAGAGCCATGGTTTAAGAGTTGTGCCCATCTACATGACCCCTCGAAAATATCGGCCCCTTATATGGCAGGAAATTGTGTGCAAGTTGAAGCTGTCAGAGATGATTTAATTGTTGCTGAGTGCTCTTTGAATCCTCTCAGAGTCCCAGAGTGAAGCTGAGGTCAGGGACTGTTGGCTACTTGCCTTGCCACAGCTCTCAGAAGCTGCTGCGCCAACAGCTCATACCCCTGTAAAGCCGGTCAGTAAATCTCACCATAGGGCTGGCACCTGTGCACCAGGGCTCCCCATCTCCCACACTGGGGACTGAAACAAGGTACATACGCTACACTGAAAGTGAAAATATGCCTTTTGTCCAGTAATCAGTGTTTCTTTTTCTTTTTCTTTTTCTTTCTTTCTTTTTCTTTCTTTTTTTTTTTTTTTTTTGGGGTGCTGTTTTACATAGAAGAGGCTGAATTACCTTACAGTGATCCAGGAGAACCAAACCCATTAATAACATTTCAAAGAGCTGCAGCAGTTGGCATGTTAATGGCAAAATCTCCACCGCTTTTATGCACCTCTCATTTAGAGCTTACGTTATCAGTGATAACTCTGTCCCTGCTTATTTTTGGTAGAGTAGCTTTCACCCTCTTTATATGCAAGTGTTACATTTATCTTCAGTCTATCCCCACTCACTGTGTAGAGAAATGGTGCTACAGTCTAATCTTAGACCCATCATTTAGTACTGGGAAGATGGAGCCTGTCATCTTCAGGGAAACCCTACTGCATCGTAATTATTGTCAGCTATTGGGTCTATAGAGATTATTTTTATCAAAATATTAAAATTGTGTATCATTAGCTTTGGTAAATAATAATTAGAAGAAATAGGAGGGGTGCTCAGAAAGCAATGCCTTCTATTTTATGATGTTGGCCCACAATGTCAGAGGTGGATGCTGGAGGTACAGCAGCAGAGGTCGAACCTTCCCACCAATATTCCATCACGTGCTGTGGCTGTGTGACAGATGGCAGCAGGGGGGCAGTCTGACAGAATGGTGTCTGACAAAGAAGTGTGTGTGGAGCAAAGGGATGGCACTGAATTCCTCCATTGCTTTTGAATTGAAATAAATTAAGAAATATACTAACATGTACTCTTACTGCTAACTGATTCATAGATTTTAAGGTTAAGAGGAGGTATTATATCAGTTTGTCTAATCACTCATTTAGCAATTTATTCAGTTTCCTTATAGTAATTTGTCCAAATGAGTGTATCTTACACGTGGTATTGAGGACCTATGTGTTGCATGGTCTTTACCTGTCTATTTTTATTAAGGCCCTTAATAAAATTAAGGCCTATAATTTGCCACTCTCCCCATTCTGATCATTTTGTATCAGAGTTTCTTCAAATTTGCTCTGCATTCTATATCGTCTCCACCAGGGTGGTGGTTCCTTTCAAACATTTCATTTAGACTCAGCTACAAGTGTACTTCTTTGATCACAATATAATCTTGTTGAAGTCTAATGACTTTTTTCTTTTGGCGTCCCAGAGAGGCTGTGGGTGCCCCATCCCTGGAGGTGCCCAAGACCAGGATGGATGGTGCCCTGGGCAGTCTAAGCTGGTGAGTGGCAGCCAGCCCATGGCAGGGGGTTGGGGCTGGGTGGGCTTTAAAGGTCCCTTCCAACCTGACCATCCTATGGTTTATGAAATAAATTAGACTACTGCTTCATGTTACAAGTATTTTGGTATTGCAGATGTCCAGTCTTGTTATCACTGCACTCAAACATGCTCAAGATTTCAGTCCTCATTAATTCGCTGTTTCATCCTCATATATCCTTTCTGTATGTCTATAAGAAGCACAGAAATTCCACGTATGAGCTCTTGATCCTCCAGAACTTAAGCACACTTACAATTTGATTATTGCACCCGTAACACCTACACTCATATGTGTGAAAATGAGCATATGTGACAATATTGCCAAGAGAGGAGATTCAGTTTGAAGATGGCCTTCCCTGGGGAGGATCCCCTCACTCTCATTTTTAATTCCTGCAAAAACTTACCAATTAGTTTTTCAGTTATTTCACAGAGCTTCTTGTCATGAGGAGCTAGATGTGGCAAGCACTAAATTTTCTGCAACGGCAGAATCAAAGATAAGAGACCTGTTCTGTCTCCACTGTCACCTCTCTCCACTGTCACCTCCTGGGGCAGGCAGGGGGGTGGGTATAGCTCTGTTGTTCCTTTTATCTTATTGAAGGGGTTTTTTCACTTAATTAAAATTCCTGAATGTCATGATTTTTATAACAGCGATTGTAATTTCCCTGAGGTTTTGCCGTGTAGAAATATACTCAGAACTTACTCTACGTCTGTCTGCAGAAATCTATGGTGCCCTTCTAACACTGTAATCCTTGGCATTTGCAGACAACCCCTACGTTTTGCTGATTAACTCCTAGTGTTTTGTTATTTCAAGTGCTTCAGGCCTCCAAGAGCAACAGTCAATATTTTTAGAATAAATGATTTCTGATATCATTTTACAGCTAAATATTAAGGGCACACACGCACACAAACACTATATATACACACACATGCACGTATCTATACATATGCACATCTGTAGGCACTTTAAAACATTTGTCTCAGTAGATAACAATGGAATTCAGTGCATTCATTTCTGATTTCTCTGGGGCTCCGGAATTTTGGGATCTGACTTAATGTGTTAGGGAAAAAGTACAATGTGTTGTTTCAAATGCTGGTTTAAATTAAAAGGGAGAAAAAAAGCCAGACATATGGCACATCACAATAGCTGGTTAAATATAGACTCGGATTATGGAGCCATTGTTTTCACTCCTGCTAAATATGACAGTACTCTTAAAATGGAACACCACTTGACCTTTCATGTCTCATCAGTCCGTGATTGTATTTAACTGATGCGGGGAAGGAAGGTTCCCCTGGAACTGTCCCCTGTTGACATGACGGTAGCTGTTGCTGGGTCATACAATGCTCAGGAGGAGGAAGACCGGCTCCTCGGAACTCAAGAGGGATCTTTCAGCTCATGGAGGACCTCTGTCCATGTCACAAAACACGCGCTCTTTTTTCAACTTCTCTCAGCTGGTGCTTTCTGCTGGCCATTTCAAACCACCACCAGTGCTCAAACATTCAAAAATCACTTACTTTGAAGTGGAGATCCTCGATGTGCAAAGCAAGAAGCAGATCTGCATTGTGGACAAGGTGAGTGTACTATTCCAGTATGCTGGGGATCTGCGTAGTACACACGGTGCCCCTTCCAGGTTTCTGTTTAGACTCTGCTGTGATATTCTGTAATACAATAACTTTTATTCGTCTCTCGGACAGATACTCACAGCTTCTGCTCATTCACAATCCTCATCTGCTTTCTTCCAAGATCTTTACAAATGAACCAACACAGATTTCTTTTAGACTTCCTGACTGCACTTGGGACTCAAAATAGATCCTTTGCTTGTCTTTTGATGTTTAAGTTACGGTGATGATTTCAGAGCATGATACCTCTGCTTCAAAATAGACATTCAGTTTTAATACATTTTCAAAGCTAAGCATCTCTGCAGTGCCCTGGATTCTTGTTGGTATCTAAACATACCCAGCTGTGCATTATACAGTGAACTGGACAGGAGCCTGGCATTTTTAAATTTTTTTGTTTGCAAACAAAAGAACTTATCTAAGAGAGGTAGAGATGTGTTTTATTAATGACGTGAATCAAAAGATACAAACAACAGTCACATTGTGTAAGCAGAATGAGAGAACTGGGTGGGAAGGAACTCTACAATGCAGTAAGCAGTGACTGAGAACATCTTATATTTACACCACAGTTTTCATGATTCACTATGCCTCAACATATGAGCTGGCCTCTTGTGCTGTGAAATTGGGAATTCTAAGCTATTCAGATTGTAGGAACTTTCAGTAACACAGTAGAGTTTTGAGACTTACTGTTTTGCTAAAAGAAAAAAATAAATCCCATATCCTCACTGGCAACAGCTGGAACTGGTGGATAAGTTTGCTTCTAATGTTCAATTGAAGGGCTTTGAAACATGCAGGGTGGAATGCTACCACATTTCTAGTGTTCCTGATCAGTTAAGGGGTGTTTTTGCAATGTGTGCCTCCTTAAATCTCTCCTTTGCTCATTCTTAAAAGGCCAAATGTTCTTTGAGACTTTCTGAATCTCGCCAAAGAGGAAACGTACAAAATGATCAAACAGATGTGATGACTATTGATAGAATTTCTAATGGTAGGTTTGTATTATTTAATTTACTGAGTAATATTATGCAGTTATTAAAAAGAGCTATCTGCACACTGTACTGAATAAGGCTTCAATCCAACAAAAGACTGAGCATATGTCTTATCTTAAGCTTTCCTACAGGCTTATTAAAAGAAATATATTAACAGAAACAAGAGTGACATTTCTGGAATCCTTCCATGATGCACAGAAGAACTGCAGTCTTCTGGGACAATACACAGACTTATGTTTTAATTTTTATTTGGAATTTCTTCAGATCACAGACTCTGTTTCTATAGCAGTAGCAGAAGAGTTATGAGTGGTGATTGTGAATTGCTCTCTATGTAGAGGTAAAATGCATGCCAAAGAGCAACAGCAACCATTAGCTGAAAGCATACGCTCAGAAAGTTATGTTCAATTGACACGGCTGTGGCCATCCTTCTGGGCATGGACCTTATTTATTTACTTAGGCACAGCACCAGGGAGTTGGTACAAATACACTGCAAGGCAGAGATTTCCAAGACTGCCTGAAGAATTTGCATTTCAAACACTGATTCACCTGTGTGTCCAACTCCATTAATTCGCTATAATAAATCCTTTCTGAGGCAACCTTGAAAGCACAGAAGTTGAGTTCCTTATTTCAGTGAATACTTAGTATTGGTGAACCTCATTTCAGCTGGTTATCAGAGCATCAAGCGACCATTTTACTGCATGATTCATAATCTGCTTAATTGAATATAATATTGATACAGACTTAACGTGATGCTTACGCCTAGATTTTGTTTGTAAGATAATTATGATTAGCTTCATGTCTTGAGGTTGCATGGAATTAATTCTTCTCAGGATTTATAATATGAAAGAACAGGAACCATATATTTAGAAATGGATGCATTTACATTCTTATTGCATTTTGTTAGTAGTTTCAAGTTTTATGATTTAGCAAGTATATTTGTAGTATTCTCAGATTCATGACGCTTCTGTGGCTTAATGGCTTTAAGTTGCACCAGGGGAGATTCAGGTTGGATACTAGGAAACATTTCTTCTCAGAAAGAGTAGTAGTGCTTTGGTGCAGGCTGCCCAGGGAGCTGGTGGTGTCACTGTCCCTGGAGATGTTCAAGAACTGTGGAGGTGTGACTGAGGGATATGGTTAGTGGGCATGATAGGGATGAGGTAGGGGTTGGACTGAATGATCTCAGAGGTCTTTCCCAACCTTAATGATTCAATAAATCTGAAAGGAACCACTTATAACAGCAGAGAGAAAACGCCTTTCTTTCTCCACCTAATAGAAACTCATGCAGAGAGATTAGATTATTAAAGAACTGGTTAAATACCAGGCAATGCTTCTACAGAGTTGGCTTCTATGACACGCTTACATATGTATGTGAGTCCTATTCAGATTAGTAGAAATTCTGTAAATTCTGCATAGTGATGATATATCTACCTAGTTTTAGTATTTAGTAAGAAAAGATGTCTTGCGCTTAAGGCAGCATAAGGGATTTAGAAAAGATGTGCTTAGCTCTGTGACCTCAAGCAATCAGCTGACATTGGTAGGCTCTGGAACAAGCATAAGTAACTGTGAATTAATTCTCCAGCTGTAAAATAAAAAATAACACGATCTCTTGGCTTTCTTACCCATCTTACACTTTGGGGAGGGATTAGTCACTCAATATTAGTGAGCTGAGTGGTTAGTCTAAGGTCTTGATCGTCTGTAAGATAGGCTTAAAGGCACAGAATAAATACATATTTGCCTGGTGTTTAAGTCTGTAAGATATATTCACTTCATATTGCAGGCTTCTCCAGAGTCAGGAAAGCCAGAAAAAATACTGAAAGAAAGCAGCAGAAGAGGAAAAGCTCAGGTGTTGGATCACAGTGATCCCATCTAGGAGCTGGGGCTTTAAGAACAAGACTTCACTTTGCAAAACTTGAAGTAAATTCCCAAGTCAGCAGCACTGGCAGTTCTTTCTGCACATGTGTACTTGTTATGAAAGTATCATTACTTTAACAGTGTCAACCTGCTGTGGGAACTTCCTCTGCTATGGATATGATATTATGCAATTAGTTTGGTGCAGGTGAGCAACTAAATGATTTAAAAGATTAACAAAAACAATGCAAGATATTTTTCCCCAGGTTTGCTCATGGTACAAAAATGAATTCTGAGGTGGGCAAATGTACATGGACTTACATGATTTCAGCAGTGGCATAACAGGCAGCGAGGTTTTGAGGGCAACAACCTGGGCATGTGGGTCTGTTTGAGTGACTGAGCCCCAGCTCTTCCTTTCCTCCCCGCTGCTCGGCTGGAGGCTTTCTATTGTTGGAACTCCCAACTGCCTGTAAAGAACAGAGGGAATTAGCACTGATTAATATTTTCGTTTTAAATATTTTCACTGAAAAACAGTTTCAAAATGTGTAAGGATTTTGGCTCCTCTGTTTACTTCCAAAAAACCCAACAAATTCATGGAGTCCAAAGGATGAAAGAAAATAGGTTTTCTATTTTTAAATAAATAATCTACGTTTTCCATCTCCAGCCACAATTTATGGAAGAGAAATAGCTGTTCAAAAACTGCTTTACTTCTACACTATTGCAAAAGCCTGAAGTAGGTTAGTTTTAAGGTTATCGATGTGCAGTGATTTGATTTATAAATGCTGTTAAGGCAACTCATAACTGTTTCTGTTACAGCATTCATTGTATATTATCTTATTCTTCAAATTAACTTGTAGTAAAATGTATTTTCCTACAAATGTAGTGCAATGTAATTAATTTTGCACGAGTTGCTTTGAAGGCATAAAGTGTTGCACAGCGTTGTTTTACAGAATAAATCACCTCTGGGGAAACCAGCAGAGAAAGCTTTTTTCCCCATCAGGAGTCGTGGAGCTCAGTAGTTTTGTGCTTCATGATTTTGCTAGCTAAGCTGTAAGCAGAGGCACAAACTCCGGTTTTGTCTGCTGCACAGTGGCACTCCTTTCAAAAAAACAAAAACAACTTAAGGCCTACAAAAGAGTACTTAAAAAGCTAAGTTACTAGTAATTAAATGGTTGTGGTTAACAGTATGTACCCTAGGAACACTTAACACAAAGATAGAATAGGACTCCTTTTGATTTATTTGAAAGGGTTGCCTTGTTTGTGTCTGAAGGAGTTTGCAGTCATTTTTCTTTCTAAAGCACCTAAAAGAGTAGTGCCTTAGTATCTGCACACTGTGGTTTAACAATAAACGGAGTTGCTTCTGATTTACACTGGCACGACAACAAAAGCAGATGCATGCAGGTGCAGTATCATAAATCTTTTTCTTGCCTGTGGGTTGTAGCTATGTCACAGAAAGTGGGCAGCCAAAAAGAGCCGTCATCACCAGCTCTCTTTTCCATGGTTTTATCTAGCAAATAAAAATAACTTCTCACATCACAACTTGGAGGCTATTCTGTAAATACCACTTTCATTTTAGGTGAGCAAATGCAATTACTGAAGTAGGCAATGAACTCAGCAAAGAAACCCCATGCAGTGCCTTTTATATCAGACTTTCCTTTCTTGCTTCTTTAGTATGGAAGTCAGCGTAAAATTGAAATCATTTTCCTGAAAAAAAGATATTTAATTGCCTTGTATAGTCTTTTCTTTTTTCTTTTTTTTTTTAAATCTTGCAGTTTTAATGTTTAACTTCACAGGACTCTATTCTTCCTTGTGGGGAATGAGCAGAACCTGTGCATGTCCACGGCTGCTTCGTTTTATGTATAGGATTTTTGAGATCATCATCTTCCTCACTCAAGCAGGACACCTGTCTATTTGGTGCCAAGGATACCCAAAGGAATTCAATAATGAGCTAGTCAAAGGAGGTTTCCTTGAGAAGACCACTTGTTGATAGTGAGTCGCACAGCAATACAGGTGAAGGTACACAGATGGAAGTAGCTGAACTCACTGCTGTGCAAATTCTCTGTTTTACTTCCTTTTGAAAGGAGGATTTTGCAGTGTCATTGTCTTTTACTGCATGTTTTCCCCACATGCAGCTCAACAGGGAGCTGATCCCTGCTGGGAGACACTGCAAGAAAATACATTACATTTACAACTGTTATAATGTCTATGCATTTTCTTGCCCATAAGAAGTGAATCTTATGCCTACTCCTAGTGCTGGAGGTGATATCAGAAGTATTTTCCTCCTCAGTTATTAGTTACACTTCTCAAAGTAGGTAAACATATTCAAATTCTATTGAAGCAATCCACTTCAATTCAATTCTTCCCGCTGTACTAGAAATTCACATTATTTTAATGTCAGTATAGCTACAGCTGGCAAGCAACTGGACATTAATCTCTGCTCTTTGCAGTTACCGTTCTTATTTCAGTACGGCTTTTTAGATGAAAAACCTGGAGAAATGGCTTTTGGTTTATCTAGAAGAGAGACTGAGGAAGGGAGAAGCTGGTAACTTAAGGGCATTTAGCATTTGTAAAGGGATAGTTCAAAGAAGGAACCAAAGACTGATGCTTCAGCTGATACTAATTTTCAAAGCTTAGAAATGCCTTTAAATGACTGTTTTTATGCAGCTCTTATCTTAGCTATAAAGGTCTAAGCTTCAGCAGGGGGGAAGATAGAGTGAAATACAAAAGGAAAAAAAAAAAAAAAGCTAAATTCAAAGCTCAGTGAAAACAAGAGATGTAATTCATGAGACACCAGTGGTGCTCCAGGTCTTCATTTACCTGCCCGCAGCAGGGGTTGGAGCTTGATAATCTTTAAGGACCCCTTCCAACCCAACTCATACTATGATTCTATGATTCCTGCCAGTCGTAAAGGCCAGCTATGCTACAAGAGCAGTGAATAGTGCCAAAAGTATATCTGTAGAGACAGATCCTCAACCGCTGTGAAAATGTTCTAATTCCCCACAAAGTGATGACATTTTACCCCAGCTGCACATTTGCCTTATTGCATCAAAGGTAATTCACAGATAATTGCAAATTACGAATGTACTGGAGCAATACAAGACCATAGGGAGCTGTAGGTGTTTTATTAGTCTAATAGTTAATCAGCACAACCCATGATGGAAATTTAGGTTATAACAGCATTTCATATAGGCATTATTGTAGCATTAAAATACTCCTGCTCAGATTTATTGGTCCATTAGAGTATGCTTCAGGTTCCTTTTAAATCTTAGTCCTATGATTCTTCAGAAAATACCTGAGCCATGTAGTAGTGGATCTTTGTCCTGGTTTCAGTTTGGACGTTTTTTCTCCATAGTACATGGTACAGTGCTAAGTTTTGGCTTTAGGAGAAAAAACAATGCTGATAACACACTGATGTTTCCAGTTGTTGTTGAGTAGTGCTGTACAAAGCCAAGGACATTTCCCTTTCTTAGCTCCTACTACCCTGCCAGCGAGAGGACTTGGGGGGCACCAGGAGCTGGGAGGGGACAGAACTAGGACAGCTGATGTAAGCTGGCCACAGAGATATTCTGTATGGCATCATGTAAAAACTGTAAAACTGATTGGAATTGGCTGGAGGAGACTGCTCCTCCTCCTGGTGCTGGTGGATGGTGAGCAATTATGTTATGCATCACTTGTTTTCTATATACATACATATCTGTATAATATTATCATTACTATTACTTATCTTTTCTGTCTTGGTAAATAATTTTCATCTCAACCTACAAGCTTTATTTTTTATCCTGATCCCACTTGGAGCAGGAGGAGTGAGCAAATAACTGTGTGGTTTTAGCTGCCTGCCAGGTTAAGCTGCAACAGAGCTATAAATACCTAATGGTATATGTTGCTGCTTTAATTATAATATACCTGTCTATATTTAAACAATTCTGGATTTTTAGAAGTTCTTAAAATGCAAGCTCTCCTTTGAAACAGGAGAACAAACTGTGGCAGAAAATCTGTGAGGTACAGCAAATATCTCCTCATAGCACTTGGCACTGTGAAAAGCATTTAGATTTCTGATTGCCCAGATGATATCTAATAGTTCTCATACATCACCTCCATTTCCCGTTCCTTTCTGTTTCCAGCTTCATCCTTAACCTCATGGGCCACAGGAGGCTGTCTGCCTCTCCATCTTTCTGTCTGATCTCACCAACATAATTTTGGACCTATTGGCCAAACATAAATACACCTGTAAGAGAAGAAAAGAGTTCAAAAGGTCAGTTAGCTTCTGCTTGTCTAATGAAAGCTGCTGGCCTGGTAGCTTAGTGCTTCAGAGCAGGCAGGACAGGCAGAATCCAACCATCACCAACCATCTTGCCTACTGGAAACATTATAGGAGACAAGGAAGGGATAGAGAGCCATTGGAATAGATTTGAGGATCCTTTATAATCAGTTAGTAGAAAGTAAGGCTTCATTAGCCCTGCTACATATAAAACCATTTATGTTGATGATATGTTTTCCTGTGAATTTTCCTTTGAGCTGGTTAATATTGTCGCTATTTCTTTTTCCTTTTCCATACAGTCCCCCAGCTTTCTTGGGTGTACTGATTTTACATTTTATTATTATAAACATTAGCAATACGCATAGGTATAAAAAAAAAAAAACAACAAAACAAACACAAACATCCACAGCCATTTGGTAGAAAAGATTAGAGAGCCACATATTTAATATAGCAATCAAAATAAAATAAAAGAAACTACACTTTTTTTCCTTAGAAGAGTTGGATGAAATTAGTTTTTTTTTTTTTCCCTGAAATGTTGTTTTCTCTTCAAATTACGGTGAAACCAAATGAATCTTGGCCTTTCAATGACATGGAAATTTGGGAGAGGAAGACAATATTACAAATAAATTTTGGAACATTTCAATCTCATGACACAATAAATATTTCAGGTGCAATTTGTTTTACAATGTAATAGTGCATTCATTTATTTGACTGTTATTTCCTATCAGGTGATTTTTCATTGCTGGAGAGGGTGTTATATTATTTTACACTATCATGACTGATGTGTCAGAAAATAATGTGAAAGTAATGAAAGTTCTGTAAGGATGAGAAATAAAGGAAATGAAAATAACACAGCAAAATGAATTTTCAGCATTTTATGAAACCAAGTTAAAAAAAAAAAAAAAACAACAACAAATACAAGCACCAAAAACACTTTCTATTTCATTTTTAAAATTCAAAGTCAACATGAATTTACACATCCAAAGTTTTTCCAGAACCATTTTGTTTTCCCATTAGAAAAGTGATGTGACAGAACTTTCCCTACTCTCAAGGTGAGCACAGAAACCTTACTCATTTCTCATCAGCTAAAGGTTAGATGGCACAGAGAGATGCCAGTGCTGGTGACATGGTGAACTCTGTAAATCGAGGGATGGCCTGCAAGCCTTCTATCGGCAAATAGATCACTTTCTGTTTACTTCCACAATATTTTTTAGCAGGGGGAGAAAAAGCTCTTTCCAGTGTCTGACACTTCTTTTTCAGGTTGGTTTTTTTTACTCCGTTTTTCTGTTAAGAGAGAGTATTTATTATAGGCTTGTCCAGCTTGTAGTACAAAAACGACATGACATCTTCAGAGACAAGCATGGCCAGTTTAAATTGACATGCCTACACCCAGTCACCCAGTAAGCATGCAGTTTTGTGTATTCGTAGATATTTTGACCTATCGTTACTGGGAATGTTAGTCAGTTGGATTATCTCATATGCCAGAGTTCAGGTGACCACATAAATAACCTCTAGGAGACTAAGCAATGCGGCTGTAATGGAGCCAGAAACACAGTGCTGAATCTCTCTGGTTTCTGGAAAGACTGGCATGAGACCAGAGCTTTTCTTTTTTTAGTATGGAGTTGTGCTGCGATCTACTGAGTAAAATGCTGCATTTCATATAAACCCTTTGTGTAGTTGCTGACAACACTTGTATAAATGGAGTTACTTGTCTAAATGTGGAAGATATTTATATCTCTTTGGGCATGACTAGCACACCAGGCTAACAGAGACCATTGTGGGACATGCTGAGGGAGGTTTTCATGGCACCCACTCTTAACGCTGTCCTTGAAGATTAACAATAAGAAAAAGAAACTGGATGTAGATGCCAAATTCACAAAATGCGGACATCAATTAGAATGGGTGTTTCCCTGATTCACTTGCTGTGGATTGCTGCTGATTTATAATAATACAGCATGTTCCCCAAGCAAGGACGTGGTGTCAAAGCAGTAATTATGAAGTATTTGTTGTGTGCTGAATTTGAAAATTACCCGGCTCTTCTACTGGCCTCATTTTCTGTTTTGGGATCAGCGCTTCAGTTACAATCAGCTGATGTCACCCTTTTGAACAAATGTACCTGGATAAAGAATGAGGCTGTCCGCAGTTAACAAGCAGCTGCAGTGGCAGAGTACGTGAATGTGTGCAGCCGTGGAAAATGACAGCCCGTTGGAAAGGAAGTGACTCAGCAGTGCTGACAAGCCAGAGAGGGAAAAAATACTGAAAGGAAAACGTTGAACGAATGACCACTTTTATGCTTATTCAAATTCCTACAGACATCCTTCTAACCTGCAACCGCTGAATTAATTCCTCGGTATAAGGACTGTGTGATGCAGTTACATACAGATAACCACATTAGTTATAACTTTTTGACTTACAAACGTGAAAGAGGTATGAAAATGGAAAACTATCTGATTAGCCTGCACTTACAAAGGACAGTTTCAAATTCTCATAATATCTCCCACTTAAGGCTTTTCCTTGAGTCACAGCCCAAATTACTAATGCTGTATTTTAAATCTTAAAAGAAATGTAATGCTTTGTGCACTGCTGCATAAGTGAAGGACAGAAATGGAACAGATGATCCTTTCATTCTTTAATTCCTGAAAAACTAAAAGTTGCCTTGAACAGCTATGTTGAAATATTTTTGCTATGAAGATGTAAGAAAAACAGGATCTGAGCTTTTTAACTCATTATTTTCTGAAAAATATAATGAATGCCTCCAGACCTGTAGAATCTGCAATTTTCATACTTTTTTTTTTTTTTTTTTTGTGAAGAAAAAGTAGTTTTGAACCTTAATAACAATGACAGTTTCTTAGAAAGTCAGCTATATTTGAAACCTGGCGTTGGACTACACAAGGTGAGAAGTTGGAGTTCACTGCCTGACCATCAGATGCAGAAGATATGTGCCAACTAAGATGCTTTGAGAATGAAATTATTCTTTTAAACGAAATAGATCTTTTAAATAAACCAAGGGTGGTTTTTCTGTTTTCTGTTTGCATATTTGAAAAGTGCTGAATTAGAGGAAAAGAAAGGTTATAGTCCTTTCATAAATAATTTAAAAGAATAAAAGAAGAATAGGACTAATAATTACAGTGAAATGTTTCAGGGTTTTTATTTAGCTAGCACAATGGGTAATAAGAGGAGATGATGTTCCAGTCCTTACAATTCTTTAGCTTGTATTGATGTAGGATGAAAAGAACAAAAGATAATTAATGGTTTATGAAGAGAACACTCTTAGTAGTAAGCTGATGTCTCAGCATCCATCTTCACATTGATCAATATTAGAATCTATAGCCTCACCAGTTGTTTTATGATGCCTTTAAGAGAAAGGACACAGAATTATCAAGATCATAAAAAAATGTATTTCATCCTTTTGTGGCTATCGCCTCATTATTGTGCCTGGGAAAGGACACTGATTCCTCAGTGTCACAGCCCATTCTCAATAGGAAGTCATTTGTGTTATTTTTCAACTTGTGGTCTGTGCAGTTTGCCTCAAGAGAAGAGAACAGCCCTTGTCCAAACCAGCTGGCCCACAAAACAAATGTCTTCCTGCCCTCTTGGCTGAGAACACGTGCTCCAGGCCTTCCCTGGGCACATGCAGCCCACACAGTGTGGTGCCACACAGAGCTGCCAGAACATGACCAGCCAACCAACCAACTATCCATCCTGAGCTGGCATGATTAAAAGCAGCTCTAGCCTCTAGCAGCTTGGACGTACACCCGCCCAGCAGTGCCCTTGCTAATGAGCTCTGCATCACTCATAAATGTTGCAAGGGAGCACAGTCCAACTATGTGGTTCAAACACCAGATCTGGTTGTGAGTTTGTCACAGCTAGAAACTCAAACACCTCACTCATAAGAAGGAAGCAGGAATATATTGATATCATATAGTTATTTAGCAAAGTTTAATCTTAAATAAGACAGAAAATTAGCAAGGTTTCAGATGGTGGGGTACACTTGATTGTTTACTGCATAGAGAATAGGATTAAACACACTCATCCAGGAGACCCTTATTGAGTCCTGAGGTTCAGAGTGGACCCCATTGCTTTCTAAACTCCTTGAACCACAGAAGCATGGAATCCACTCCTGTATTTGGTCAATGATTTATGTCTGAGAGTTTATATAAGCACAATCAACCTAAGATATAATTATAGAAAAGCTAACAAAGCTTAAAACTATTCATCACTTACCAAGTATCTCTATCAGCAAGGTATCTTGTCATCAAAGTGTAAGGGATCTCTGCGGAGCTGCAACCATGAAGGGCAACCCTGCTCAAGGGGAGATCAAGAGGCTCTTGGGCTGCTCTATGCTATGAGCGTGCTCAGGTTAACAGTGTTTATGGGATAAGGTGACTGACTCAGAGTATTCAGCAATCAGTATTTAGTATCAGTTCTTTAAGTACCCAGTTTGAGAAACTTGTGGTCATTATCTGTCTTGGCAGTACCTTGATTTTTATCAGTCCTGAGCAAGGTTTCTGGCTTCCTTTCTTTGAGCTTGGAAAACCTCTAAACCTGCCCTGCTCTAGGACACCTGAAAGGTCCTGGGTGCTCTACGGTTATTGCCACCTAATACCACTTGCATCCATGTCTAGGAACCAGACTTCATGTAAGTGAAATTATGAGGTGTATGAAGGCAATTTCAGGTACTTTTAGAGTCTCTGAAAACAAATAATAATTAAACAAAGAACAAACAAAACCAAAACCTTCCTCTCCTATTCAAGTCCAAAGCAGCTGTATACATTACAAAAGGAAAGCACGTGAGGATGTGCCGTTCTACTGGAAGTTGCATGAAATGACTGCAAATCTGGACTTTACCAGTGCACAGAAAATCTCTCTCTAACTGTGGAAAAGACAGTATTCTCATCTAAACCCAAAGACAGAGCTAGCAAAAATCTTAGTTTTACACACTTTTTTCTGCCTATTCATATTC